AAAATTTTATTATCTAAAATATATTCTGGGTACCTCAGTTGTTATTTCGTGCTTCTAAAGGGTACTCAACTGCAAACAGAGTAAAAGTTATTTGAAAAACATCCTTTATTGATTCGTTAGTTAAGCATGAACGCTTATCAGCTTTTCACCTTACTTCTGTAATGCACATATGAAATGCTTACCACTGTTCCATAGAACACATTCTTATGGTACCGATAGATTCAAGAATTTTTATTAGTGTTATAGGTGTACAAAGAACGTATTTTAATGCATGTAAAATGGACAGTTAGTCTTAGACGTTTCATGCTGTTAAAGTAAGACCACTTGGAGGACTTTCAGGAATGTTCCCATGAAACCGGCTTGGCTATGTGATCATTCACAGACGAATCAACGTGTTTAGTGGAATGAGACCCTGGGAATGCCATGAGATCAACATGTGAGAATCTCCCTGAGAGAATTAAAAGGGCGGACCACCTAAAAATGGAGACTGTTTTCGTTTTTTGAGAAAGCTGTCTGTTTGTGAAAACCTTTTCTTGGGAGCTGGGTTAAGAGTGAGAATTAGTTAGTGTGATGGCCATTTTTTATTTTTATATAATTGCTATCACAAATTGCTTATCAGGATCGCCATCATAGAAATACTAACTTATATGAAGAGTATTGCTATCTTACAATTGCTATCTGAAATGCCTATGTCAAGAATTATTCGCGCCTCCGTTGGTGCAAAGGCACCATTTATTTTTAATTTAATTCAAAAGGCCTTGGAAGCTAATAAATTTCCTGTTGAAGTCATACAAGTCGTTACCCGCAAAGTGACGATGAAACACCAAAATGATAATGATGTTTGTTTGATGACTGTGTGATAATAATATTCTTTTCTTTGAAAGAAGCTTGTCGTACGTATTTTGTTTAAAAAGCGCTTTTCATGCCTTTAACTTTTCAGTCCTGTTTTGATAATTGTCTGAGATATTATAGCAGCGTAAACAATCTGTTAGACGTAAAGGAGAATAAATATCTCCACCTGCAAATACCGAGAATTACCTTAATTACCTAAATCTTAACAGGAAAGACAAAATAACGTTTCTCGCAATAATAAATTAATAAACAATCTTTAAAATACATGAACTCTTTCTCAGTAATCTACCTAGTGTGACTAACAAAAATTTCAGTAAACCTCATTGTATTGTTATTTGAAGAAAATCTGAATTAAACTGAGAAAGCTACCCTATATATTGTACTTAAAGTATTGCAAAAATGAGTGATATATTATGAATAGTTATGCAAAATAATTCTGATAAAAGATTTAATGACAAACGCATTGCTCGCGGGAAATACCGCGGATTTAAATTCTAATTTTACCGCTGAAAACCGGGAGGAGAAAAATACACAGTGTATAGTCTTTCTAAAGAGACGGATTAAATGTTAAACATAACACAGTAAAAACACACATAAATATACATACATATATGTATTATTATATTATGTATTTAAAGGACTCACTAATTTCAATCATGGTCTGTTTATTTACACAAACTAATTTCCTATTTGTGCACACTTTTTTACATTGTCATCAGAAATCAGAAGTTTCTAAATAATTTTGAAAAATTATTTAGAAACGAGGGTAAAGAATTTGGCGTAAATATGGAGTAATGTGACAAAAATATTTTGTATATAAAATATTAGCCTCTTCATTTTGTCATTTCTACACTCATGTCCATAAATTAAGGATAATTCGGAGTCACGCGGAAATCGAACTCTAAAATAAATATATCAACTGTAAAATCACTACACACATCTTCAAGAATCATATGCAAATTTCAGGAAGTAACCAGATGACACCGATGGTACGTCACAATGACGAGAGTGTAAGAGAGGGATATATAAGGAATACAGGCAAAGAAGTAAAATTGTTCACAGGCGCTTTATAAGCATTTCAGTGCAATAAACCGAATAGTTATGACACAAAGGACGCATTTGGATGATTTTTTTACGTGGTAGAATTATCGGCCGTCTGGAATGGGCGTACCCAACTGGAAGTATCAGACGAACTTGGAATTGCCCAGAGTGTCATCTCCAGGCTTTGGCAACGATTCCAAGATGATGGTAATGTGAGTAGACGTTACAGAACAGGTCGCCCCAGAGTTGCAACGCCGAACGAAGACCGGTATTTGGCAGTTACTGCCAAAAAAAAAAAAAAAAAAAAAAAAAAAAAAAAAAAAAAAACAGGCGAAGCACAGCCTCAGAAGTTATTACTGCCAAAAAAAAACAGGCGAAGCACAGCCTCAGACCTGTCTCGTCAGCTCTCTTCAGCCACTGGTACGACAATTTCAAACCAGACCGTGTGCAGACGCTTAGGACAGATTGGTCTGTATGCTCGTAGACCTGTCAGATGCGTTCCACTTACTGCAACTCACTGTCGCCTGCGGTTAGCCTGGAGTAGAGAGCATGCATTGCGGACACCGCAACAGTGGACTTGTGTGATGTTTTCCGAAGAGTCCAGGTTTAGCTTGCAGTCTGATTCTTGCCGGACTTTCATATGGAGAGCTCCAGGTACCCGTTACCACCAAGAAAACATCATTGAACGACACCGTTATAGTGGTTCAGGAGTGCTCGTTTGGGGTGGAATTATTCTGGGTTCCAGAACTGACCTGCATGTTCAAATTGAAACCATGACAAGCCAAATCTATCGGGACTTCATTCTGGAACAACATGTACGTTTGTTTCGGGGCGCCATGGGTGCACAATTTGTGTTTATGGATGACAACGCCCGTCCTCACCGTGCAAACATCGTAAGCGAATGCCTTCAAGATATCACCCGTATGGACTTGCCAGAATTCTCACCGGATTTGAATCCAGTAGAGCACGTGTGGGACATGCTTGACCGACGATTTGCAGCCCGTCAACCTCCTCCTACATGTCTACCGGAACTTCGGAGAGCATTGCTTTGTGAGTGGTGTAATATCCCCCAAGATCAGATCGATACTTGGATACTCAGCATGCCTAGGTGTTGTACGGACTGTATTGCGTCGTCTGGAAGACATACAATGTATTAACAATCATACCAACCATGTAATATTGGTTTCTTGCAAATAGGTTTTTTTTTTTTTTGTAATTTGCTCGAGGGAGAAAAAATCGCTAATTTCTTTAATAATATCAAATATATAGCATCTTTTTTTGCTCTTTACATTTTGTTTAATAAATAAGCTTTACAAATAAGTCAAATTTGTTTTGCTTCTAACTCTTCCTTTGCCTGATTTTTAGCATTATCCTTAATTTATGGACATGAGTGTAATAAAAACTCACGCTGACAACTAGCAGTAGAATAAGGGTTATTATTTTCGACCATTTACTGAGCTCTGTAGGAATTTGGAAAGTGCTCCAAAAACAAACAATTGAATTTTCTGAGATTAAAAAATGCAATCGAAACAAGAAAAATAAAACTAAAAAAATCATTTGGTCTCCAATGAAACATTATACTTTTACATGCGAACAAAAGTATACTATGTAGGTTTAATTTTCTGAATGAATTCAGTGATAACTATTTTTAGTTTTTCTAATAATATTCATTTTTATATCATATGAAAGGAAATACTGAATTTTTAATTGAATATGTTTGAATCAGAATATACGCAATGAATGAAATATATCCGCCGAAAACGCTGCGGTGAAATAAACTGAAAGCAAAAACTTCGTCGTAGAATTGTCGTGGGAAAAAAGAAAGAAGAAAATATCGCAGCTCTAAAACGTTGTGGTACAAAATATCGTCGTTGACAATTAAGCGGTTGAAAACTTATCTGTTTAAGAACATCTTCGTGAAAAATATTGTGATTTGAAAAATATGCGCTTACAAATTGTGGCATGACGATTAAGTCTCAGACATGCGTTTTTCAAACTTCAAAATTTATAAATGCATATTTGTGTGTTCGAAATAAGGACTAAGGAATAGTTTTACTTTTACAATTCATAATTTTGAATTGTAATTTTTTTGGAGAAAAAGTAAGATAGTAACTTAAGCATTCAAAAACTGAAATCGAGTAGAAAATTAATGCATATTATAGAAATTAGTAGAATTTATATATCCTGCTGAAATTTTACGTAGCTGACATGCTTCAATATTGAAATCCAAACGATTAACTGCACTCAAAGTGTTAATTATAAGAATAAGAACAAACTGAAAAAAAACAAGATTTTAATAAAGATAATCACATGATGTTACTCATTTTTCGTTTTCTATCAGTAGCAATAATTTTCTACTCATTTTTTGTTTTTGAATGCTTAAAATCTTATTTTTTCAGCAAAACATTTATTAGTTAATTCAAAAATATGAAATACAAAAGTAAAAGCATTCCTCATTCTATCATGCGCTTACACATTTATATGCGAACATGCATTTACAATTTTTAAAGCCTGACAATTCATGCTTGCGATAATCATATGTCTTGCGGTTGTACATCGTTACGCGAATATGACTTCACGAATTTTAAAGCTAACAAATGCGTGGCTGTGGTGATGACGCGCCATGCGATGATTTGTAGGTGCTTTAATTTTTATCACGATATTTTGTACAACGACGTTTCCAAGCTGCTAATATTTTGAACCTCTTTATTTTCCTCTTTATTGTTTCTGCCACTATGTTTTACAGCTGCGATAATTTCTTGCTTTGTTTTCTCAAACGATGTTTTTTATGACGTCGTATTCAAATTGCGTAGTTTTCTCCGCGATGTTTTCCCCTGTAACTGAATGGAAATTTCAGTCATGCATCGTTAATTAGTTGCATGAAATTTGCATAATTAATCAAATTAGACTTAATCTTTTTATATCTTCAAGTTCTGCGTAAATTGTAAAATGAATTTTAATTGCAAAGTTAAATTTTCAGATATAATTTACTAAAATTTGCGCTTAGAATGAAAGTTCCATTTTTAATTGTGTAACTATGGAAAGGAGTTAGATATGTATATATTGCCTCAATTTTGTGTAGCATATTTCTTATTATTCCTATTTAGGTGTTATTATATTTGGCTCAGACCAAGAAGTAGCTGGAGTGATGCGAGCAGTTCGTCGAAGCAATAGTACTGGAGTATTTTCCTGGATAGGCAGCGATGGTTGGAGTGGTCGTTCTCTGGTGTCCGATGGAAATGAAGATCAAGTAGAGGGTACAATTTCTGTCCAGCCTCGTGCGCATCCCGTGAAAGGTTTCGACCAGTATTTCCAAAGATTAACAGTTCAGAACAATACTCGAGACCCTTGGTTTATTGAATTCTGGGAGCACTTTTTCAATTGCAAATGGCCAGACAGTATTATAACACCTTACAACCAACAATGGTCAAAGTTTTGTACCGGAGAAGAAGTCATATCGAACGAAACAGGATATGAAGCTGAAAAGCAGCTTCAGTTTGTGAGTGATTCAGTACTCGCATTTGCTTTTGCTTTAAAAAATTTGCATAGTGATGTGTGCGAAGGTAAACGTGGTTTGTGTGAAAAGATGAATCCAGTTGATGGAGCTGAGCTGCTTACTTATTTAAAAAACGTATCGTTTAAAGGTAATTTTATGCTATATATATATATTATTTTTTTAATACACAAGAATCTTAACTTTGTAATTTGCAATGCATTACTACGCAACATAATTACACTAAGAGGGTATCAGAACACTGCGCTAAAACTTTCTATGTTATATGTGTTTTTAGTTCAATTACTTTTCATATATTTTAATAATCTTAGTATATTTCAATTAAGCACATCTAACGAAGAAAAAGAAATTGCGTACTAATTAATAAATTGCAAACTATAATGATAGTAGTTTAAGAAATATGGAAATATTTTTTACAATTTTTCATACCTTTAAAAATTAAATGTTTAAATTTTTTCACGTTATTGAATGTGCATTCACTGCTACTAAGATACGTATTCGAAAAACAGTTTTTAAAGATCGAATTTTGTGAAATATGGAAGAGGATGATGATTTTTAGAAGTTGCGCACTGTCCAAATAACTTCATACACTTTTTTCGTAAATGAAGTAGCAATCAGTAATATATGAATAAACAAGTGAATGCTAACTGTATCATGATGACGCATGTAAATGTGTTAAACAAGGCTGAAAATTCCACTCCCAAATTTAATATTAGCCATTAACTCTATGTCGCTTCCCAATTTTATGTATCAAATGATTAGAGAATGTTTTCAAAATTTGGTTTAAACTTAGCTTTTCCTTAATGCTAATTTTTTTTTACTTAATGAAAATAAGTCTTTTCGTCGAAAACTACTGAATGTAAGAACTGAATTTTAGGTAAAATACAAATATAAAATTCAACTCAAGATTATTATTACGACTTACAATTGTAAACTAAAATTCAAAACTGTTACTTAAAATTTAAAATGTTTCCACTGATACGAGTAAAGTTTCAATTTATACAAAGCTTTAAAATCACACACTTAAACAGACAAAATTTCGATTCTACCACTATCTCCTCAGCGCAGTTCTAATTATGAAGAGACTAATAATCTATCATGAACTTCCTCCATCACAGAATTTATACATAAGAAACTTCAAGGTTGAAGTTTGCTAAATATCTAGAGTCATTAGGTTATTTTTAAAGCAGACTGTTGTATGAGCAAAATCCTCACACGTTTCCAGCATGCGTGTCGCAATTATATGACCAACTTTCTTTCACCAACTCCTTTCCGAAGATATCTTTCTTATTCGTCGAGTTGTTTTGCCTTAATTAATTAGTGAGCCATGTACTACGTTTAACTATTTCCCTGGAGTCTCGTTCCCTGATGAAATGAACGACACGCATAGGTATTTTCAAAGGCATTATCATGTTTAACACAATGCTAAAGCGAGCGGAACTTCAAAAAGTTTGAAACAGTAGATTTAATAGCGCGGTAATACTTTTTAAGTTTCCAAAGTTTAACTATTGCTAGACTACACAAAATATTCACTTAGCAAGGGCATATTCAATATTAACTTTTCTTTATTAAATTTGCATTACGAACAAGCTTAAGGCGGCTCACACACCTTAAACCCCTTATGATCTTCGAATATGTGACTGTTGCAAGAATTGGGATATTTTATTTATTTACTTCCAACCTTTACAGCTGACTACATAACATAGCTGCTTTGGAAATTGGTAACCAGAATGTTTGTATTGCCACAAAAATTTTTGTAATTTAGTCCGCTTGCGACAAAATTTTTCGTCCTGTTTCCAATTTGCGCGCATGATATTTGAAAAATGGCTAATGGTACATACTTGAAATTTGATGGAATTCTTCATATGGGCACCATTTTCTAACTGAACCAAAAATCTGATTAATATTTTAATATTAAAAAATTTTATGTGCAAAAACAATACAGATTTTTTTAATAAAATACATTTTATGAATTAATAATGAATTAATAACAAATAAAATAATAATTTAACATGAAATTCTTAGAATTTTTGGTTCACAGTAGTTTCCAAATGTTATAAAAGCTATATATTAAATATAGAATTAAATTATGCAAAAGAATGTTTTAAACTTCTTGCGCAAGGTGAAAACATGACGAAATATTTTGTCACGAAGCGGATTAAATTGTAAAAATATTTTTGGCAACACAAACGTTCTGATTACTATTTCAGAAAACAGCTATATTATGTAGTCAGCTATAAAAAGTTGGAAGTAATTGCTTTTAAAATAAGTAAGTTATCCTAATTCTTGCAACAGTTACATATTCGAAGATCTTATGGGTTTTAAGGTGTATGAGTCCTCTTAAGGCTACTTCAGGTGCATTGATGTACCTCAAGCAACGATATTGCGAAAATTATAGAAGTTAAAAACCTTATTAAATAAGTTATACAAATTACATAATAATTAATGTTCAAGGCTTTCAAAATATTACTATTGAAATGAAATAATTAATATTTAACAGAGATAGAGATAAGCTATTTTCACATAAAAATCTGCATTAATTTCCACTTCACTGTGTTTCTTAAAGAAATTGTTGGGAAAGATATCATTAGAAATATTCAAAATGTTTAAATAAAGTATAAAATCATATTTGAACAAAACATTTTTATTTTTGTTGAATTGTCTTTCTTTCGTGTATATGAAAATCTGAATATCTGAATAGATTATATTATAGGTACAGATTAAATATTAATTTTATATTAAACCCGTGCCTGATTACAAAATTTTTCCTTGCTATTTCTAAAGCAAAGACAATAAATAATCAATTACAAGAAACTTATCTGAGAAACATTATTAGAAATTAGTTGAGGACTGTTATGTGTAGAATCTTAAAAAACTCTCATTTTGCTATAAATTGCGCTTCCTTACGTTTGATTTTATCGAGAATTTAAACATAATCAATAAAATATTGAAACATTCATATAACGGTTTTGTACAAAGAATACACATCAATTTACACTAGTGTCAATTTTTACGAGAAATTTCTGTAACCATAATTATCCGATATTAATATGTATGTCGGAAAAGACAAAATAATATTAAACCGCTGTTCATTCCTTAGCAGACAAATATTATACAATAGGAAGCTATACAAATGTGATGTTTGGCCTCATTCATATCATGTGGGTAATACCAGAGATTCCAATAAATTTTGTTTATGTGTATACTGATATAAGTGCTTAAGCGTTTTCCTACAAATTTCTATAAATTTGAAATGCAGATTTTTGTTTCTTTCTAGGACTTAGTGGTGACGAATTCCAGTTCGCTAACAATGGCGATGGTCCGGCTCGCTATAATATAATTCACTTCAAGCAAATCTCTCCAGGACATTACAAATGGGTCCGTGTGGGTGAATATAAGGATGGTGAACTGAAGATCAGCTTGCCGGACATTCGCTTCCGTTTAGATGAACCGGAAATGCCAACATCTGTCTGCAGTCTCCCTTGTTCAGTTGGCCAAGCTAAGAAGTACGTGGAAGGTGGGAAGTGCTGCTGGCATTGCTTCAATTGCACAAAGTACCAAATTCTCAGATCTGAAACGACATGTTATGATTGTCCTTTGGGATATCTTCCTAATGCTGATCATAGTAAGTGTGAAGCTATAGTATTGAAATATATGAGATTAGACAGCTACTGGGCTACTGGTATAATGGTTTTTGCTTCAGTAGGAATTCTTATAACGATATTTGTGGGAGCTGTGTTCTTTAAATACCGTGATACACCAGTAGTAAAAGCATCAGGAAGGGAGCTAAGTTATGTTCTGCTTATGGGCATATTCCTCTGCTATGCTATAACATTTCTTTTGGTGCAACGACCATCGGACATTAAATGCGGAGCTCAGAAAATCGGTATTGGGCTCTGTTTCACTATCGTATACAGTGCTGTTCTCACGAAAACTAATAGAATAGACCGCATATTTAGATCAGGAGCACGAAGCACAAAGCGTCCAAATTTCATCAGTCCGAAATCCCAACTAATAATATGTGGTGGAATTATCAGCATACAACTTATATTATCAGCCATGTGGCTAGGATTCAGTCCACCTCGCGCAATTAATTATCATCCTACGAGAGACGAGAATCATCTTGTATGTGCTGCCTCAATAAATGCTACATATATGGTGGCATTCGCTTATCCAATGGTTTTAATTCTCATATGTACTGTATACGCAATACTTACAAGAAAAATACCAGAGGCATTTAATGAATCCAAATTCATCGGTTTCACTATGTATACTACTTGCGTAGTGTGGTTAGCATTTATACCATTGTACTTTACAACCACAGATCACGATGAGATAAATGTCTTCACCATGTCTATAACTGTTAGCCTAAGTGCAACAGTCACACTTTTCTGCCTTTTCACTCCTAAGTTATACATTATTCTGGTGCATCCTGAGAAAAATGTGCGTCAGTCCTTAATGGTCCAAAGCAAGTGTACACCTAGTAATGAGAAACGAGTGACATCAGCGAACAAAATTGACAGCACAATAGTTGCAGAGGGTAAGTAAAAATCGCTTTATTATCTAATTAGTTGATTCACTAAATATAGAAAAATATCAAGTTATTACTGAAAAATATGTAATTCGAAAAC